GCTCAGTGGTCTAAAGCATCTACTTAGAACAAGCTCAACAAAGCACAAGAACTGCGGTTCAATCCCCCAGCACCACATGCCAGCCAGCGCCGCCCCCTGGTGGGCTGAGCTGGCCACACACACACACACACACACACACACACAATAAATAAATAAACTTAAAAAAAATAATAATAAAAGAAGCTTCTGTTCATAGAACGCTATCTAAAAAGATTTGCACTTGATAGTGCTGCACCTATCAGCACTAGCAGCAAATGGATTTGTGTAGGCTCCTGGCTCTTAGCATACGAAGATCTGTACAACTATAAAGCCTGTCCTTGGACTTCAGAAGCATTACGCAGTGTGTGAGCTGGGCTTTGGAGGAAGTACCTTCAGGGAGCAGGGTACACCCTGCCCAGTCCTTGTACTCGACCAAGTCAGTCTCTTGGCACAGCTAGGAGATAGTTCAGCTTTCTCCTCAAAATTGGTATTTTTATCTATTTCCAAGGAGATGTTCAGCATGATATTGATAATTACATTACGCCTCAGTTTACATAATTGTGGAGAGGAAAGCAACAGCTCTTTTCCAGTGTTTACTGCTCCCTGGGTCATGAGTTGTGATTCATCAGCCAAAACATTTAGACACCTTCCTGAGACCATTTGATCTAAGAAAGAATGATGCCTTTGCTGAGGCAGTGTTCAGTCCTCTTAATTGTAAAGAAACAGCTTTTTTCAGACTAGCTCTTACTAGGAAGTGCTGTATGCAGCACTTTGGGTCTTACCTTTGCTTCTCAGAAGCTTTATGTTATAAATTTACCAAAGAATAGTTTAGCTCTGGGGCCGGGGAGATGGTTCAGTGGAGTAAGCGCTTCCCTGGCAAGCGCAAGGGCCTGAGTTCAATCCCCAGTTCCGCCAAAAAAAAGAATAATTTAGCTCAGACAGTTCTAGCAGGGCCTCTCCTCTGTACCACTGATGGAAGGACAGCCCTCCTCCATCTGTGTCTGAGCACGTAGCTCAGGGAGAACACACATGAAGTAGTCAGGAAGGAGCGATGACAGCTGCCCAGCCAGCTAGGTCGGCTGACTCAGCCTTGGCGATCAGTGGGCTAACAGATGCTGTGGCCAGACCAGCCTCGCATCCATGAGTGGTCTCTTCAGACACACGCACGCACGCACACACACAGTTCAAAAGAGCCTGCCTGATCTGGCAGTCTGAGTGACTCATCTGAGCTCAGAGCATTCCTGACGGGTTGGCTCATAGGAACAGATTATGGAACAGAAAAGGGCTTGAGATTAGAATGAAAGCAGAAGAAACTGAAAGTTCTGAAAGCACTGATGTTCGACTCTACTGACTTGATGAGTTACTTTTTTCTAAGGAGTTTCAGTTTTTAAATGACTGTTAGCTGCATTTCTCATGAGATTTTTGTAGTTTTTCAGTATGCATCCCCCTTCCCATTTGGAGAAACTCTCTTGTCTAGTAATCTTAAAATAATAGCCCAGGTCCCTCACTCCATTCCACACTAACCCGTGTGACCTGTGGGTGGCTTATTGGATGTTTCTGACCTTGTGTCTAGGTCAAGGGACGAACAGAGAATGTGGTTTGGATTTATTTGCTGTCATAGCAGCCCTGTCATGGCCAGATGCTTTCACTAAAAGACACATCTGACTTCTGTGTCTCAGCAGAGCTCTTGACAAAGCTGCCTTAAGTACTACCCAGTCTTCAAGCTCCCATTACCTGTGACTCTCCAGTATCTTTCCAGTAAATCTGCACCTGGCATTCTTTTGCTTAAGATACTCTTGCTAGCATTCAAAACCCCTGACCAATGAAATAGAGAATGTTAACAATCCAGCCACCTTTCTTATGGATAATTCAAGGTAAATATGACTGTAATGTTGTATTGTTTAGTACTCCTATCACCAGTTTTGTTTTGTTTTTTTCTGTATCCCCTTAAATAGTCCTTCCTTGGATATATCTTAAAAGTAAATTATTCTAGTGTATCCGGCATACAGTAGCTACCACAAAATTTAGATCCATTGTGTAGTTAGTTTATCCAATGAGGTTCAAGTGCTTTGTTTTATACAGAGAATAACAACAAGGCTTTTAGGGAACACTGGTCTCAGTAGCATAGTAATAGATCTTCTGAGATATAGTGTTTTTGCTTTGATTCCTGACCTTGAGAGCACCAGTTATTTAGACCCTACGTTTCTCCTGTGCATGAAATAGCCTGTTAATTATATTTTCTTCCTTTTGAACTTTTAAATAAATCAGAAGCTTCAGGAGGGAAAAAAAGAGATTTTGGAGCTTACCTGTTTTTTAAAAAAGTTCTGTCCAAAGATTGTAAGGCAAGCCTGCAGACACGCGTGCCGTTTGTCCTGTGGCAGCCACATTGTTATGATGTTTTGGAAGAAAGCACATGCAGACTCAACTGTGCTTGATGTGCATTCAGCCATCTGTGTTCTTTCTTTAAGACAGAGTCATCCTGTGTAGTTCTGGCTGCCTCAGCCTCCCCACGTGCTGGGATTACAGTCGTGCACCCCCCCCATATGAATTTCTGAGTTGTTAGAAACAAACAGATTTATCTCAGTCTCTTCAAGTCTCCGTGTCAGCCTGCTGACAGCATACCGCCCTGATCCTGTACATGTAGCTTGCTGCCCCCACCCCCTTGTTCCATTCATGACACAAACCACACATCTTACTAAGTATTAAATTACTTATTTTACAGAAACATAATATTTGTTGAGGCCTTATTCACAGGTCACAGTATTGGAAACTTTACATACATTGTCACAACCTAAATATTAAGACATAAATGTATTAAATATTCTTTTTTTGTTTGTTTGTTTATTTATTTTTGTGTGTGGCCAGCTCATCCCACCAGGGGGTGGGCAGGCTGGCATGTGGTGCTGGGGGATTGAACTGAGGTCCCTGTGCTTTGCTTGGCTTAGCTTGTTCTAAGTAGGTGCTTTAGACCACTGAGCCATCTCACCAGCCCTTAAATATTCTTTTTAAGATGAATAAACTAAGGCTAAGAATGATTCTGAAGGGCTGGTGAGATGGCTCAGTGGTCTAAAGCACCTACTTAGAACAAGCTAAGCCAAGCAAAGCACAGGGACCACAGTTCAATCCCCCAGCACCACATGCCAGCCAGCCCCGCCCTTTGGTGGATGAGCTGGCCATACACACACACAAAATAAATAAATAAATAAATATTTTTAAAAAAAAAAGAATGATTCTGAAATTTGCCACCAGTAAATAGTACAGCCAGAATTTTAATTTAGAGTGCTATGCAAGCCAGGGGGAATATTTGATTTCATTTTGAAGTAACTAGTAATTGACACTGGAATTGCCATTCCATATAAAAAGTAGAGGGGCTGGTGAGATGGCTCAGTGGTCTAAAGCACCTACTTAGAACAAGCTTAGCAAAGCACAGGGACCGCGGTTCAATCCCCCAGCACCACATGCCAGCCAGCCCCGCCCTTTGGTGGGCTGAGCTGGCCACACACACACATACATAAATAAATAAATTTTTTTTTAAAAAAAGAGAAAAAGTAGAAGCAGGAAGCAAAGGACATGCTTTAAAGAAAAAAATCTGCTTTTTATTGTAAGTATCAAGAATACAAAGGCCAGCAAGATAGCTCACTGTACTAAGCATCTGTTTAGGCAAGCTTAGAGTCAGGGGTTTGAGCACCAGCACCACATGCCACGCAGGCCCCGCCCCCAGCCGAGCTGAGCCAGCCAAGGAGACTGGGTGTGGTGGTGCACGCCTGTAATGCCACTGCTGGGGAAGCTGAAAACAGGAGGATCACTACCAAGTCTGAGCTGCATAGTGAAACTGTACCAAATACATTTTTTTAAAAAATGCTATTGATGGGGACATGATGCCAGGCAGCATAAGCTCCTGCCTGGCAAGTGTAAGGACCCAAATTCCATCCCAGTACCATATGCCATGCTGACTCCAGGTCCCTCAGCATGCCGTGCTGGCCTCGAAACTTGGCATGGTGGCAGACACCTGAAATCCCAGCACTGGGAAGGCTGAGAGAGGATGATCACAAGTCTGAACTATATAGCAAGACCTGTGTCATTCATAAATAAATAAATGGAATTGATGATTAGATGGTCATGTGTTTTCTTTTTTTTTTTTTTTTTTACATTTATTTATTGTGTGTGTGTGTGTGTGTGTGTGTGGCCAGCTCAGCCCACCAGGGGGCGGGGCTGGCTGGCATGTGGTGCTGGGGGATTGAACCGCG